AAATTAACCCTCTCACGCTAGAAATTCCTCAAATCCTACTCAACCATCAGCTAGATCATGAAAAATAGCTAGAAATTCATACCTCACACGACCGGATTGGTGGCCGGAGGAGGGAGAAATCGCTGGCCAAAGTTCTGTCAAAAAACGGTCGGAAACCATGGTTTTTCCGATGGTTCGAGGCGGCAGGCGGCGGGAAGGTGACCGGGCTAGGTCGGCGGAGTGACGCCCGTGGTCCTGGGTCCGGTCCGATGGGTTGGGGTGGCCTGTGGTGGTGGCTGGGAGGAGAGGACCGATCGGACTCAACAGGGGGGGAGATCGCGACGGGAGAGAGAGAAGTTGAGGGTTTTTAAAAAAATCCTGATTTTCCAAAATTACCATTTTGCCCTTGAGCGTATTTTGACCTTAATTTCTTCGTTATAATTCCGATTCGAGCCTAATACGTGTCTACGGACTCGTTTCGTCGCGCTCTACACAACGGTGTAAGTGAAACAGTCAAATTCTTTCTCGGTCAAAGGGTCAACCTTTTCCTCAATAAAATATTCTAAGGGCATTTTAGTCTTTTCCTCTAATAAATTAATAATTAAATATTAATTTTTGGTTTGGGTTGTTACATTTAATATGAGTATGTAATTTTTATTAGTTTGACCCAAACTTAAGCTTTAATGTGAATTTGTAGTTTTCTTCAAATGGAAATTGTAGTTTTTCTTTTTAATTAATTGATGAATGTTTGATAATCTATTTCATGGGTTCAATCATGTTTTTCCCATTGTGCAATAAAAACTTTCATGCTTTTAAAAGAGGAGATAATTACCAAGATTAATAGAATTTCGACGAAGATTATTTTTTGATAGTTTGTTGCCAATGGTACAAGTTATGCTTAGAATACTTCTAAAGGAAATTAAAAAGAGCTTTATTTATTTTGAACAACTACAATGGAAAATATTTTGTGGATCAAATTAATAAGAATTGCATGCTTATGTTAAAAGTGGAACCCCAATGTCTTAGTGTTTTAATCAATTAAATTTTCTTTAAATCAAATCTTGATTAAATCTACACCTTTATCTTAATTGTTTTGTCTCAGCTCTGTTATTTTCTTTACACCGCTCTTTGTGGATACGACACTCGAACTTCCGAGCTACACTTCTATACGACACATTCACTTGGGTTTTGCAAAGTGGTACAAATCAATTGGCGCGTTGCCAGGGAGCGGCTTGTCAAAGAGTACAGAGATCCCCTTGGTCAGAGGTTTGCTGGTTACGTGAAATTCTTCACATTTGGTACACTCTTTATTCAACCTAGAGATCATCTTGGAAGATTTGTTAAAAAGATTGAAATTGTTAATTTAGAACATTCTGCTTCAATTCTTCAACTAAAACATTTGACAAATCTGAAAGCATGGCAGAAATTGTAAATAGTGAATGAGAGGTTAATGCTCAGATTGTGAATAATGAAATAAGAGAAGAAGTAGTTGCACCTAGAATTTTAGAGACATTATTGCATCCTATTCGTGCACCAAATCCTTCATGCATCATGTTTCCACCTAACATGCCAAATTATGATTTCAAACCTGTAATGATTCAATTGCTACCAATTTTTCATGGTATGGAAAGTGAAAATCATTAAATGCATGTTAGGGAATTTGAAGAGGCTATTGACACTTTTTACAATGGTCAACTTGATAGGATAAATTTCATAAGGTTAAATTTTTTTCCATTTTCTTTAAAAGAGAAAGCGGAAAGTTGGTTATATTCATTAAGGGCTAGGTCCATAGGTTCTTAGGCAGAGATGATTCAAGCATTTTTTAACAAATATTTTCCTAATCACAAGACAATTGCTCTTAAGAAAAGAATCTCCAATTTCTCTCATAAGGAAAATGAAACTTAATATCAAACTTGGGAAAATTTTAAAGAGCTTTTGAATTTGTGCCCACACCATGGCTTTGAAAACTGGCATCTTGCTAGTCATATCTATGAGGGACTTCTCCCTCGTGATCGCCAATTTGTTAACTCTATGTGTAATGGAAATTTTATGCAAACAGACCCTGATGATGCCCTAGAATTTTTGGATGAAATTGCTGAAAAAGCTCATCAATGGACTGTCCCCAGTCCCAGTTCAGTTGAGACCACTGATCGGTCAAGAATTGCCACATCTTCTACTAATAAAGGAATTTATCAATTAAAAGAAGAAGATGATTGGAAATTAAAATTTGAGGTTTTAACTAAAGAGATAGCCGCTTTGAAAATGGAAAAATCAAATTTGCCTCAACCTGTTTATCAAGCTGATGTTAATCAAGTATGTGATTCTTGTTATGAGATTGGTCATATTGTTAAAAATTGCCCAATTTTTCAAGAAATGAAAGGAGCTTATGAGGAGCATTGTGCTGCTGTTGGAAACTTTAAACAACAATATTCTCCTTTTTCCAACACTTACAATC